TCCAGCCTATTGTCTGTTCACTTACAGATAGGTATCTTTACTAACTGAAATGCGCAAATGAGTAGAAGTTGAAAAATTTAAACATTAAACAGTTTGGATCACTTTCTTTACAACGCAATTTTCTGTTAATTCTCATCATTGCCATGTGAGGTAGAGAACATATACTTAAATTGCATACTAATGACTGAATTGGAGTGTAGAGAGAATTGGGGAATGCATAGAAGAAAATAGTAGCATGAATTCGAGGAGGAAGAAAAACCTTAATCTCAAGTCACAAAGTAAAATGAATTTTCAAGTTCAGTTAGTTTGTACTGCACTGTGAGTATATTTTTGCAGTGTTTTGTTACTGTTTGTTTTCTTTTTACAGAAATGCCTTGCCTTGTAGAATACCAGGATGGTTTATGGTATAGAGCAAAGCTCCTCTCCGTTGAAGAATTTGACCCTGTTAAGATCCTGGTTCAGTTTGTTGACTATGGTAGTTTTCTAGTTGTCCCAACAAGCAGGTAAATACATAAGATAAAAATGCATATAAGATGTCTGTGTGTGTATGTATACACTTAAATTATAAATTATATACTTATAAGTGTATGTATTTTTACATTTATTATTTATTTTTAGTGCAACTATATATATTATTTATAATTCTTCAGCATTACATTTCAGCCGGAGAGAAGGTTCGTTGGCTGGTTAAATAATTTCTGTTGGCAGGGTATGGGGTTGTGCACCTGCTTCTCTTTCTTAGGTTGCTTCAAGAAGCCCATTGTTATTATATCATCAGATTTCTCCATCATCTTCGGGTTACTTAACCTATGAAGTAGGCTTAGGCTTATAATCTGCTTTTGCACCCAAGAAGCTTACACAAAATAGGGACCAAGCCCTCCAGGTGTACAAACAAATCCTCTGATCCTGTGTGACTGCAGTCGGCACAGAAGACTGCTGGGGAATAAGATGAGGGAGTGTCTGAGCAGGACACACCCCGCTCTGCTTGTGAGGAAAACCGAAGTTCAAATCCCTGTTCTGTCTGGTGCTGAGCCACTTTAGGGAACTGCCTCTGTGCTGACACACAGATGTCAGCTAAATGTCTCAAACACCCCAGGCTTTTAGGTTCCCTGAGATTGTCTGAATTTTCTTTCTTGAACCACTTTCACTTTCTATATATACTGCTTAATCATATCGACTTGCTCTTGAGCTCATTGGGGAATCTACAGGTCCTTGCTGAAGATGAGGCAAAAATGGGTATTTTAAGAGATTTCCTGCTTTACAGACTATTAGGGTCATGGGAGAAAGCATGTGTTTTATTTCAGGGTTGTTCTTCCTGCTCTGCTTCCCATGGGACAGAAAGATAGAAGAATGGGGAGATGATAATACAAAACTAAGGTACCTATTTCCAGTAGTGTGTCTGTCTAGAGCCCATCCAGTTGTGAAGCACTTTGGAACACAAAGGTCTATGTCATTTTCCAGACACGCCAGATTTGAAGCCTGCATTGTGATGACTTGTGCTTGCATTCCTGTGCTCAGATCTGTGTTAGGCACTTGAGACTCTTCCCCAAACATTGTAACAGGGAGTCTGTGTGCCTGGCAGGCTGAGGGGGCTGTGTGATACTGGCCTGCTTCCTGATAGCTACTGTGCTGAAGTCCTTCAGAGGGCCTGGCCCTACCTGATGAATTGTTTGGTCTGACACCGGCATGTTATTGTAGAGCAGGGACTCTGATCGCAGTTTCCATACTGCAAATTTATGGCATGAACCATTAAGGTATCCTTATGTCCATGCTGATAGTTTAGCTTGATAGGTGGATTGTTGCAGGCAAACATTTTTCATTTTTGTTTTAGATTGCGTCACATACCTTATAATCTGCTGAAGTATCCTGTTAAGGCAGTACGAGCTCTGTTGGCTGGATTTAAACCTGCTTCATATGACAAAAACATGAAAAGAATTCCATATTCCCCAGAATGGAGTGTGGAAGCATTGTGGGCTATGATGGAATGTGTGGAAGGAAAACAGCTCTCTGCTTCCATACTTGTGAGAAACACTTTCTTTTTTCTTCTAGATCTTGATCAGGCTAAAGTTCTTACTAGCACTCTTGATTATAATTTCTGAGTATTTGTTTTACTGTGAACACTCATAATTTAAAATCATTTACCATGAAGGAATGCTGATGAAGAGAGAACATCATGTGGCACTCTTAATCCTGCAATTGAAAAGTTTCTGAGCGTTCCTGTTATTTTAAAACTAGTTTTCTTTACTTAGAAATATTATTTCTGTATTCACATTTCCATTTAGGCAGCAAGTACAGCCAGTAAAATAACTTGCACTGTTGGTTATCTTGAGATTTAAATATGTTACTGCAAAAACTTTGTAAACTTCTGGTTTTCAGGCTCTTTCACCAGAGGTCACCATTTCTTTGTATGAAGATGACCAAAACCTAGTTCATATGAAACTGATAGAAATGGGACTCGCAGATTTGGATGAGTGACATGTAAGTACAGTGAATGTGAACTACAAACTCATACTGTTATGAAGGTATGATTTCAAAAGTTTTAAGCAAAGTCTAAACTGTCAGTAGTGCTGACAACTAGAGTTTGTTTGGGTTTTTTTAATCTCTTCTGTCCACAAGCTCTTTTAATAAAATAAAAAGCTGTTAAAAAATATAATTTCCTTATGTACACATTACTGAAGCCCACTATAGCTTTAAGAAGCAACACGTACTATACCAAAGCACACTAAGGCAAGGTAACTTGCAGATGTGTGGCAATGTACTCTGCCCAGACAATCAAAATTAATTGTTTTTCTTCATTTTCAGCATTTGATCTCAATTTCCAGTGCCAGTGGTTCTCAGATCTGTGATAACATATGGATGTCCATACATGTAGTCAAACGTGGAATATTTTAAATGAAAAGCTTTACAATGTGTTGTCTACAGAGAATACTGGAGTCATGGATTTTCAAATTTCTTGGCCAATTCTATGTTAAGTAGTCCTTTTCCCTCAAATTTAATAGCAGTCTTCTAATTGATGTTTATAGATAATGTTGTTCCCAATGCTTTTGAATTTTGAAGTAGTGAAACTATATATTCACATCTCAATCTCTTGACCTTAGAGCCTTAAGTATTCTTCTGTGATATCCTTTCCATAAAAGTCAATGGAATGAGTGTATAGTAGTAAAGAAATAGATAAAAAGCTGATGCTGGGCACATTTGTTCTAGTATCTTCTAGAAGATGTTCTAAGAAGATTTGGAGGGAAGATGATAGTTTTATTATTGTGCTGTAACTCTTGTTTGTTTCAGGCATATTTGGTGACAGACGTCTCAAGTACCAGAGTCTGGGAAGGGAATAACAGTTGGGGGTGAGGCAGTGTTACAGTCTTTGTTCTGGAACATGTTCGCATTGCTGCTGTTTTCTGTTTTCAGTCATGATGAGATGGATCTGTTTCGGGTGTCTTGCACCTCCTTCCTACTCCTAGAGCTGCAGTGTTCATTTGAAAGTGTTCGAATAAACAGGAGCTTGCTTAACACACAGCTGAAAGCTTGTTTTCCTTTACTGCTATACTATGTAAGGTTTTTCTAGATGTCTTTCTATTGTACTGGTATAGTATATCCTTTACATTTAAAGCCCAGCCTCTTTCAGTCATTATCAAGGAAAAAGAAAACATAAACAATGTAGACTCCACAACCTCTCTGGGCAGCCAGTTCCAGTGCTCAGTCACCCTCACAGTAAAAAAGGAGGCTCCTGTGTTTTAGTTTGTGCCCATGCACACATACACTTACGCACCTCTCTTCCCTCAAGATCACATGAAAGCAAGCATACAAAACTTCCCTCAGTAGCACTGCTCAGGCACGCTGCAAGGGGAGCTGGCTTGTTTCTGCTAGCAGTGGAAGGATCCTTTCACAGTTTTAGTACATATTCTGGTGTTAATCAGACGTGCTATATGCTGTTGCAGATACCCTATAGAGCTGTCATGTGCTCATCTTCAAAATGTGTTTCTTTTCCTGACAAAAAAAAATGCTTAGCAACCATCTTGAAAGGGACTTGGCCCCAAATTACATAAGATCTGCTGTTTAAGATTGCCAGAAAGGCCAGGACTTGCCTAGCCACCCCACCAAGCAACATCTAGTTCTGAGTGAGCATAGTTGCCACTACTGTAAGTTGATCTACCCCTTGAGTAGAAAGGGCACAGTAACTACAGAGCTTGCTTCCACTGAGGAGAAGGGGGAGGCAACAACATGACAAGAGGAAGAAAGCAGTATCTTCTGCTGTGCAAGAGAATGAAACTTTTGCTTGTAGATACTGCAGAATTTTAAAAGATGTCAGCTTAACTAATGCCTGTTAGGTGGAAGAATTTGATGAGATGATGGTTTCTGTTGATTTCTGGTGTTTCCTCCCACATGTTGGAGTAGCTTGGAGAATGAACCTGCCCCAGAGTCTCACCTGTCCTAACCTTATGTATATAGAAGGGCAGTGTGCAGAACAGAGTTTGGGGTCTGCTAATGCTGTTGCCTCCTAACTGCGAGATTAAGAAAAAAATAAGATTATGAAAGAAAAAGAATAGCCTAAGGCTAACTGAAAAGGAATGCTGCCATTCACTTACTCTTAAGTAAGTCAAGCAATAAGTAAACTGATACCCAGACTCTTAAATCTGGCTGCCTGCAACAGCACAACTTTTTACCTTGGATTGAAGAATCCTCTCTCAGATGTCTAAAATAAGGTAATCTACAGCTGTTTGATGAATTTTCACTGACAGCTGATTTAAAAAACACCCTTTTAAACCACACATGACAGCATACTGAACCAATAAACTGCTTCTGAAAAGTAGAAATTAGGAAAAAAACTAGAAGAAGCACTGATGGTGTAACACCCGCTGAAAAATAAGTTTATTTCAGGGAAACTATAAACAGTATATACACGACAAGCTTAAAGGGGTTTCTCTTCTTGTTTGTTTCCTTGACAGGAATATACATTATTTTTGCTGATGTGCCAATGCTTCTAACAGTTTTGACTGTACCTACAACTTAGTGTCCATGATAATGTTGCCATCCTTGTCTTTGACTCTTACTCTCCCAGAGATGTACTTTGTTTCCTGCTGTCCATTAATGTACACAGTCTTGACAGTACCATCTGGATACTCCCGTCTCTTGAACTGTGATGTGTGTAGTTCTCTTTGGCCATTATTGAACTCTATAGTTTTGCTTCCATCTCTGCATTAAAAAAATTCAGAGAAGTATTTTTATTAAAATAACAACACTATAAGGACTATACATAGGCTTAAGATTAATCTCAGAATGAACATTAAATATGCAAGCTTAAATGAAGGAAGAACTTAAAATACAGTATTTGTTAAATATCATCCCACCTGGTTGGTACTCAAAAACCTGTTTCTGCAAAACTGACATAACTGCTTTATAGTTCAGAGCCTCTACTGCACTTTCTCTGCACTAAATCCATTGCTGCAACAGTCCAAGAAAAGTTCAAAACTTAATGTTTTGAGTGCTATCAGTTTAGATGTCAGACCTGCTTGCTGCACCAACTAAGTTCTCACACATTCTCTAGATTATGCACAAGTCAGAAAAATCTCTCAGGTTAGGGTATGAGAAAATACACATGGGCATTCAGTCTTTCTCTTCTCCAAGCTACAAAAAAAAAAAAAAAAACCAACCAAAATTTAATGCAGTAAAATACATGTTCACAGTACACTATATTCAAATGTAAACGTCTAGAAATAAATCTGTCACCATGTACTGCCTCTATCAGTGAGCCCCAGCTTCTCCGTTCCCATCAACAGGCTAGGGTACCTGAAAAAGTAAAGCTTACCGCTGAATACGAACAATGGTACCATCTGGAAAGATACTTTCTTCTTGCCCATCCGTAAATAAATTTTTAATAGTTTGATCAGGGAAGGTAATTTCTTTCTTGCCATCAGGATAATGCTTCTCTGAAATGTATTTTGAGACAATATACTTATTACGTAAATACAGGTGTATATACATGGGCAGCAATCTTGAGGGTTGGTTGGGTTGGATGATTACCTATTTGTCCATTTGAAAACTGCAAGATCTCTAAGCCATCAGTGTATGTAGTATGTGTAGTCTTTGCATCAGCATAATAATAAATCTGCAGAAAAAAGTTTAGATATAACTAGTGAGAAACCTTACATGTATGTACACGTGTGCATAAATAAGTATTTTAGAAAAATACAGAAGATTTAGGATACATACCACTGTTTGATCAGGCATAACCTGCTTCACATCCCCATTGAAGAAAGTTATAGTTACAGTCTTCCCATCAGAACCCACTTTTTTCCATGTCCCATTTGGGAAAAATATGAGGTGACAGCCATTTTTCAAAACCTTTTCAACCTAATGAGTACATCACAGAGATGTCAGTATTGAGCCATCACACTCACATTCTCACTCTTTCACAACAGCTCTCTTGTGGAATTTCAGAGTGCAGAGCTCTCATTTTACCTTTCCATCAGGATAAGCAGTTTCTCTCTGTATCTCTTCACTGCCCGTATGTGCTGGTCCAGATGGTAGTGACACATGAGCTTCATTAGGAGCAGTGTCCTGAAATGACAACCATCACCTAAGCATAAAGTCAAATCAAGCTTTTTCTTTGTACATTTTTTTTTTCCTATCTTGACAAGTATTGTAGAAAACAAGGAGCACCAGGGGAGGAAAACAAATATAGGAAGGCATAAACACAACCTGAGTTTTATGCAACTCTAGTATAATTCAAGTGACAGGACAGTCTAAGACTTGGCAATAATTGGTTGTCTGTGGTCAGCTGTAGTCTGGACTAAAGTGGAATTCAGTGTTGTGTTGTAGTGTGGTGCTGAACTGCCTTAAGTCATCCACATCAAGGTATGAAATAGTTGATGAAGTTTCATAAAATCTGAATGCTACCAACAGCAATTAATGTAAGAATTAATTCAACTATTTACAAGATTCTTGCACAGTTTCCCTATCCCCACTCCCCCCCCCACCCCGAAAAGGTAAAACATTTTGCAAAATTCAAGGGAGCAGGAGATGACTATTTTATTTTCTGAATGTTGCAACTCCTAGACACAGGTAAAACATTCTGCATTGACTACTACACAGCCATTTCCTGGTATGACAATAAAATTGCAATTGAAGAGCTAGCAGTTGAGTCAACAGCTTCCCCGGTCACCCTCCAGATACACAAGTACAAGTAGCTATTGTTTTGGTTTGGGTTTTCCCTCCCCCCTTAAAAATCTAATCAAGATACAGGACTTACTACCATAAAAGTCCTAGAAGAATCTTCTAGTGCCGTCACTGTCTCAGAGTTGCTTCTGTCACTAGGAGGTGCTGATGCAGGTGTTGTAGAAAGCTTTCCTACTCAGACATATGTAATAAAGTTAATTAGGACAGCAAAATTGAAGTACAGGTTAAGTGTTACAATTATATACAAGGTCAAGTTGTACAAGACACCTACATTTAAGTGCAGTAACAGCTTTCAGTTTCATTTAGGAAAAGAATCAGCATAAGCCAGCTCCCTTAGGTATGTCATTGCTTCATGTGTCAGCAGTAAGCCACAACTGAAGAATCACTGCAACAGGCATAATACTTGCACTTTCCTATTTCATTTCTGTAGATTTACAAAAGAATTTCCTCCCACCAAGGGATCTAGATAACATTGTTAGTTATGCCTTATAATAAATAAAGGCAGACTAATGTAACCTTTCAACAGGAACCGACTGGCAGACTTTTCCCATGTCTCTCATAGCATGCCAGAAAGATTACCAAAATAAAATTGGCAAGGGCTTCAGTTCTGGAACATACTCTTCTAACAGAACACATCATGGTTGCTTGAGCTGTCAGAGGTGTCAAAAAAGTATCCTCCAGTTACTTTCCATATGTGATTATTCATCAGGAAGGGGAATTGCTGCCAAGCGCATTTGCTCCTGTGAACAAGGAACACCCGCTGGGGCATCGCCCATATGATTACAGATCCCTTCCACAGAAGAGACACAGCAGTTCCAATGCTATCAACATAGTCATGGAATCATAGAATAGTTTGGGTTGGAAGGGACCTACAAAGGTCATCTAGTCCAACCCCCCTGCAATGAACAGGGACATCTTCAGCTAGAGCAGGTTGCTCAGAGCCCCGTCCAACCTGACCTGGAATGTTTCCAGGGATGGGGCATCTACCACCTCTCTGGGCAACCTGTGCCAGTGGTCCACCACCCTCAGTGTGAAAAATTTCTTCCTTCTATCTAGCTTAAATCTACCATCTTCTTGTTTAAAACCATTACCCCTTGTGCTGTTGCA